CACTCTCTATAGCGTGTAGCCCCTCGCGAGTGCAAGCTCGCAACCACTCTTGTAAATCGATTGATGTCCTCCTCTCCAGATCGCCCAACCCTTGCCGTACTGCACTGGCTCCCGCCAGCGGGTACTCAGCTCCTCTTGCCATCAAACTCCTGATGTCGTACGGTGAGTTCAACCACAGTGTCGAAGTTTCTCCTCTGCATAATCTGATACGGAGTTGGAGGTTTAGGAAGTCCTTCAAAGATCATTATCCATATGTTTCAGTTAACGTTTCTCCTCAGCGATAATAACTTATCTCTTTCGCCTTCTACAATTTCTTTTGCACGCTCCCAACATTGACCGTATACAAGTTCTACTTCTCTTTCCCTAGGCAGGTAGATCCTTACATCATACACGTCTAAATGGATAAACCTGGCGGTCATCACATAATACATCATACACGTCTAAATGGATCTCCTCCCATCTGCTATCCACAAGCTCATACCTCTCTACCTCATATGGAATTGCTTCTCTCGTCCCTAGAGAACTCAACAGGCCACAGACAGCCGCTAGTCTCTCCTCGGACGGTCTGTTTCCGACAAGAAACCTCTCTCTCCTCAACTCCAAGTCGCGATTACAGATGTTTCTCTCTTCACTCATCCTCCCCATCCTATTCTCTTCCTGTCGATTTCTTGGGACCATTCCTCGTTCCGACCATCCTAGCAAAGTWCACTACCGCCTCCCATCCATTTCGCTTTAATCCTCGGTCCGAAATCGGCGGCCTTGGCAACCCGTCAAAAATCGAGATGTCGTCACAGACTTCGACAGTCTTCCCCAAGTCCTCTAATCTCTTCCTCTCTTCCCTCAACTTCCACGCGACTATTCTCCAGCACCTCGTGTAAACACAGAACTCTGCGCGCTCCCTAGGTAAGTATATACCTACGTGGTGTATTCCTAGGTCGGGAAAGTAGACGGTCATTACATAAAATTGATTTATGTCCCAACTGATGTTTGCTACCTGGTACCTAACTACCTCGTAGGGGAAGATTTCCCGTCTTCTAATAGCGCTCAGATCTTGGAGCACTTTCTCATGATCAGGATCACGGGGTCCTCTCCATCCCGACAACTTCCGCCTCCTTCGCGCTAACTCCTTCTTCGGTAGTGGCATCTCTCATCAGTCTCCATGAGCCACCTAACATCCCATCGCGGTTAACGCTAGGGACAACATGATCCTCTCCGCAGAATCCTCTAAGAATACGTAGAACGTCTCGAAATCGTCTGTCTCCCCAAAATCTTCAACATCCTCTAAGGTCTTAATCATTTCCTTCCAGTACCGGTTGTGAGCCTTGAGCATTCTGAGAACGGAGCCGTCTATTATAACCCCTTCCAACTCTCCTGCCTTCTTTGCCTCCCTCTCCAAGAGTCTCACAGCCTCTCTAAGGGACTCGCGCCACGCCCTACAGAAGGGTCACTCATCGAAGGGAGACTCGCATAGTACGTACTTAATCAAACACACGTTTTCCTCTCCTTCCCAGACTCTGGTCTTTCGCGTGCATTCTGCTTTTTCGATCACACTGAGTCCCGCTAGGTGTTCTAATTGTATCACTACATAGGTCACCGATCCATCTAACTTCCCTACTACATACATGGAAAACTTATGATTGATATACTGACTCGTTCCGCTCATCGTCTCCTTTCATTGTCCTGACGTCCCTTCCACATCCTCCTTTTTTTTCAGTGTTGTATCCTCTGACGACTCTTCTGACCTTTCCGTCGACTTTGATGACCATTCTGATTCCTCGCGATTATGATCTCTCGCCTTTACGCTCTCCGAGTCCAAAAAGTCTAGACGCCACCTCCTGTAGAATTCTCTATCCTCTCTAAAGAGTCTCTCTAACTCCCTCGTCGCTGCTTCTATTCTACGCAAGTCACTCTCACTCTTGCTGGATCCGCAGTCCCGAATCTTGTTGCCCAGCTCCTTGACTTGTACGCTCCTTGACTCTCGTCACCCTCTCATCCACAATTTTCATCCTATTCCGTGCATCTCTCTCTAAGTTTCAAGCACCTATCACATCTTACTCCGAGCATCCGTGGGTGTCTCGTCTCGAACTATCTCTAAGCGCACTCTCCCCTTTACGCATATGGCCACCTCATACACCATCCAACTCTGCGTTGTTACCTCCCTCAGTGCTCCTAACCTCTGCTCCCATATGACATCCTCCGCAAGTTCTTTGTACTCATTGTCCGACAGTTCCTCATTTATACTCACCCTCAGCAGAATTTGTAGTGTCTCGTCGTCGCGTGCTAAGTGTTTAGAAACGGCTCAAGCATACGGGAGTCGTCGCAAGGAAGGTTCATATCACTCGTCTGCAGGCAAACGACCCGTCACTCTCCCATGAGCGGCCACTCGAGGATTCCTATCATCCACGCTCCTTTAGGAGTCGGAGTCTCTGCGATCCCACCGGAGAGAGTACGAAGTTCGGGGTCTACGTCTATATAGCGTTGACTCACACTCTGTCATGACAAAGCAGCCCGACTCATACCGTGCCCCGGGCTTCCACTACAGTCTCGTCCAATAACAACTCTGCATATAGGTCTATGAAACCGCGCGTTCATTGAACGGGGGTTTTCCGTTCAGAAATTGAACGGAATGCACGCGCGTTCAATGAACGGGACCGAACGCGGAGTTCAATTCCGCGCAAGGAAAAAAAAAAAAAAAAAAAAAAAAAAACTCAAAAAATTCCGGAAAAAAAAAATGTTATGAATAAAAATAAAATAAACAATATTTGCCTGAGCATTACATCTAAATTCGTTACCAAATTGAAAAAAATAAATAGAAAACAGAAAATAAAAAAACGTAAAAAAAGAATTGAAATTAGTGAGCGAACACGATTTGACACCGCCATCTTTGGCGATTTTTCATTTTTTTTTGCCTCAGCAAAATAACTCCAAAACTGAGAGGCATGTACCTCACATCATACAGAACTCATAAAAAAAAAAAAAAAATTATAGGCATTAAAACGATTTTTTTTTTAAATAAAAAAATAATTGAACGTCGTTCAATTTTGAACGCGAACGCGCAATCCGCGTTCACACGCACATTTGAAGGCGAACGCGCGTTCACGGCGTTCAAACGGTTACACAGGCGTAGGTGTCCAGCCGACCATACCATCACCTCGTACTTTATCTTTGTTTGGAAGGTCACGCATGCGAGGACTCCTAGCCGGTACTCACGTATGAATTATCTAGCTCGTCGAAAGCACTCCTGTTCTGTCTGATCCTCGTATAGGTGTGGTTTGAGTAAGACGGTCACTGTGAAGCCTTCGTTCACTAATTGCCTGCTTACATTAAGCCCTGTAGTCGCCCGACCTGGCATGCCTCCTATCGCTGGTCCCCAAATAGATACCTCAGCTCCTCCTAACCAACGTATAGGTCCTCTACTCGTCTTCAGCAATAGTCGATCAGATCGACTGGCCTCAAACAGTCTATCCAKCAAGTGGCGTCGATSAGGTCTCTTAGCGTCTCCTTGTCTGGTTGTCCCCACCTCACGCAAACWGCGTAGTACACCTCCGTAAATCGAGGTGCTAGCCCTAACCAGAGTGTGTACARCRTGTGGTCAACTGCTTTAGTTAGGTGGTCCACACTCCCATAGGTTTGTTCTATTACAAACGTAGGGAGAGTCAATCTCCAGCTCTCTACAAGGTAGTAGACTGGGTGCGGGGGCCCGATTACGACACGGACGGTGAAAGACCTCTCCCCTGCAAAGCTAGTCAGCCGTCGTCTCACTATCGATCTTGCTAGGACCTCGTACTTCCACTAGTTCCTGCTAACACCARCGAGTGTTARCCCTATCTCAAGGTCTCATGTTTTGTCAAACACGAGATGCCCTATCCCTTCCAGTCGTCGAGGGATAGCAAACCCTCTATCCTCTAAGATCACCGTCCACAAGAARACGCCCCTTGCCAACCAAGTACCAAAGTGYCGGATCGGTATGCTCGCTATCTCSTCTATGCGCACCGGAAGAGGAATATCGTATCCCACAGCCGTTTYCGTCGGTCCTATCAGTTTCCCTACTCTATAGGAGTCTGAATCGCGCGTCACGACGTAAGCCAACCATAYGTTCGAGCGACTCCTCACCACTATTCCGCCTCATCGATGCCAGTGCGAATTGTCCCTGATCTCTAATCCGTGTCACCAACTCTATCATCTCGTGTCATCAATACCTAGATAGGTTCTTTCCTGTAACCGGAGGAGCTGGAATCTCTTCGAACAGTTCGATCCCAGTATGCCAACTAACTGTCTTCCCTTCTTGTTCCAAGCGGTAGACCTCTCTTATCATCAATCTAAACGGGTTGTCCCAAGCTCTCTCGCTCAGATACTCCCTTGCCCGGGTCGCAGGAACGTAGATCCCCACGTCGTACTCGTCGAGGGTAACAAACCGATATGCAAGAATGTACACGCGTCATTGATCTATACCTCCTCCTTGGACATACTCGTAAGTAACGAGCTCGTATGGGAGAACCTCTCTCCTTGTCCTCTCGTTGAGGGATYGTATGACRTCATKAATTTCCTYTTTTGTAGGGCCTCGTCCCTCRGTGATTAACTGCTCCCAATACACCCGTCTAAAGSACATCACATGTCGGCCCATCTGTAATCCTCACCATCATTTCTACCTCTCTCCTAGCTCCTTTCTCCTCTCACCGAACACTTCTGCTYTAAATTTGCGAYTACCTCGACACCTATGYGATTCGTCCCTCRGSGTTGAGAACACACRCGCCGCCTCCGTCACTGGGCCTCGTCYGCGTCTMGCATATCCACATCTCTATYCTCACCTATCTYGCGCSCCCAAGGGATATGCTCTTGTTCGTCACCCTGGTGTCGACCCTCCTCTGGTACCTCTACCCCTACGCGGTTATCGTCTCTGGCTTCTATGCCCTGAACCCTACCGCCAACCTAGGGAAGTGAATCGCAGCACGGTCCGCCTCCTCTATCTCCTCCTCCGAGTCATGGTCCACACCCTGAGCCTCCTCATGTGGCGCGGCCTCGACGCGCTCCGCCCCCAGCTCTATGACACATCCTGGCGCGCCTCCCTACTCATAGTATCTTTTGATCAGTCGCGGACAGAGAAGCGCACTGCTCCACCAAGCCCCCCAGTCCTCATCAAAGAGTCGTCCCATGGATGCTACGTAATATGGCCCCGCTCTGATCTCCCTATCCAGTAGATCCCATACATATGTCCGTGGAGCTCTCCTCCAAGCCGATGATCTCTCATTTGCAAAGTCCCTATATTGTGTCGGCGATATGGACCGGACCAGCTCTATAAACTGTAATCTCTTGTCACCCCAGCGCAATACGCCAGTCAACAGGGAGTAATATATAAAGTCCGAGTCAAGATCACTCCGGGAGAAAACACTGAGCTCTCGCAGCGCTAAATATGGCTCGACCACTCCTCCTACTCCTCCGAACAGCTCGTCGACCACATATGCAGGCACTGTCGTTCTCAATCGTCTGTAGGAATAAGGAAAGAATCCCAATCGTGCAATCCGGAGTTCTCCTGTGATATCCCTAACCCCAGGGATCCTACGTGGCCATCTCCTCACATACGCACGCTCGTCTTGTCGAAAACGGCCCACCTCCTCTTGGAGATACCGCTCAGCACAGTCTATCACGGCGCTCGACCCTGAGACAGCGAGAGATAGCACAACGCCCCTCGCGACCTCTGTGCTAAGGAATAAGAATGCCCGCACTGTACCCCAGCTGGCCTCCTCAATAAGCTTCCCTCCTGCGTCTCTCATGCCATCGACCTCCCGATGCATCCATAGCCAAGCGCCTGGGCAAAGAAGCAGCGATCGCCATCCATGACTGTGATCGCTCTCGTGAACAGGACGTGCGGGAAGTGTGAACTCCACCAGCTCTCCCTCCACTAACTCTGGAGGCTCATACGGCCCCCGCCAATCGATGACAGGGAACTCCTCTACCGCCTCAGAGTGCCACATCCGCTCAATCGCTTTGTCGGCCTCTCCAAGTCCTGATGGCGACCCCTATCCTTGGGAAATGAGCGTCGGTGATGTCGAGATCCTCTCCCGACTCGGCGTCCTCAACCTCAGAGTCGATCCAGTCGGGCTCCCAATCCTCCTCGTCGTTCCAGCCGAACTCCTCGTCCTCCTCAACTATCTGATACCCTGGCGCTCCGATGACCTCGTAATACCGCGTAAGCTCATACGCAGTTATAAGCGGCTCAGCGTCTGCGGATCCCCACGAGTCTCAGTACTCCGTGAAGAGTCGACCCACACTAGTGGTGTAATCTGGCCCTGCTCGAAGCTCGCAGTCCAGCAGGTCCCAAACGTACGCGGGCGGTGGGCGCCTCCACTCGTAGCCCTCGTCCCACCAAGGTCTAGAAGAAGTCGGCGCTATTGAGCGGATCAACTCTATGAGCTTCTCGTCCCCCCACCGTGGCCCAGCGGTCACTAGGGAGTAGTACATATAACGGGAGTCGAAATCCCCCCTTAAGAAATACTCGAGCTCCTCCACCGTAAGATACACCTCGACAAGACCGCCCACGCCACCGAATACCTTGTCTACCACGAAATTGGGAACCGCCGTCCTCAACCCAGAGCCCGCAGACGGGAAAAACCCGTCACGTACAACCGAAAGTTCCCCGGTGATGACACGGGGAGTGTAGCCACACGCTCCCGACTCCTGCTCGTCCTTTCGTCGGAAACTCTATATCTCGCCTTGCAAGTATCACTCGGCCCAGCCGATGATCTCGCAAGTCCCCAGGAGTACAAGAGTCAACGCAGCCTCTCCGACTACCTATGGGCTCAGATACAGGAAGGCCTTGACCACCCCATATGTGACCTCGTCCGGACGCCTCCGATGAGTATGCTAGCCCTCTGGCACAAGGTCTCTGCACATCCACAGCTACGCTCCGGATGATAAGAGGATCGATCGCCACCCGCACAGCCTGTCGTGCCAGTCGGTAGGTCGAGTCGGCAACGTAAATTCAACAAAACCTCCTTCCACGAGCTCGGGTGGCTCAATCCTCCATTGCGGGCTAACAAGGTACTCTTCTACTCTAGGGGTGGCCACATCCGTGCCGCTGAGTTTACGGGTTGCGGGGTGGGTGAAGAATATGAAGAGCAGTAGCGTACAAGGAAGGGCAAAAGGGAAAACTTAAAGAAAATTTTGGCAACGCTTCGCATCCCCTAGTTGGGATGGGGTTCGGAAGATCGTCCCTGTAATAAGCACTGCCTACCTAGGTACTATCTCTGTCCTGAAGGGCCGTATGTAGCTAGGGTGCAGAATCCCGAACTGGAATTGACCTTACAAGCCCAATACTCAAGTTCCCTCGAATATAAGGCGCGTGCACAATTCGAGGGAATTTGGCCGACTGCACCCTCGAATGTGCTTTCAGCCAACTGACCCTATCCCTTATGCAAAAGCCAACATCAAGAACCCTACGTACTCTCTTTCCGAATTTTCAAACCATTTTGATAATTTTAAGGGATTTTTATCTGTTTAAATTAACAAAAATTACTTACAACCAAGAAGAAAGCATTGCGTCGCGTTCAAAGCATAGGGGATCGTGGAGAAATCCCTCGCGAGTGACGGGGCAAGTCCGTAACTCTTTTCGCTGTCACCCACGATTTGTTTCTAATTTGCGTCGGATGAATATAAAAATTTCAAAAAAATAATTTTAATTTTTAAAAATTCCCGTTACTTGTTTCAAGCCCTCAGCAACTCACCAGCCGGATCACCCGAACTCGGTTTACCCCAACTTCTTTTTTCCTTTTCTCTCTAGGGAATTTTTTCTGATTTTTTAATTAGAAATTAAGTAAAACGTGTTTAGTTAGGGTAAAATCCTGTTTTCGATTTATATACATTAAGGATCAATATATATATATGCCCGCCGAGTTTGGAGATTTTTAGGGGCAGGAATGAATTTTTGGGAATTTACCAAAATTTCGGCAGCGCTTCGCCTCCCCCCCGTTGGGATGGGGTCCGGGCGAAGCCCTCAAACAACACTGCCGGAAGGGGAATATCAAAAAAAATAATGAAAAAAAAAAATTTGATTTTCGATTCTTAAATATTTTTATTAATTAATTAACAAAAATTCAAATTGAAAAGGGGAATTTCGAAGGATTCCGACAGTAGTTTCCCTCACCCCGTTAAGTTGGGGTGCGGGAGAGAGTCCCTCGAATAAATAAAAGTAATTCAAAAGTCAAACAAGCGATCTTACCCAATTTTAGGCATTTGTTTTAATTTGTATCAATTTTAAATAACAAAATTGCGAGGCTACTACCTCTATGAGCCCCATTCGGCCCCATTTTGTAGCAAGTCGGCCGCCCTAAGTGAAGGCAGGCTCGACGAGGCCCTCAGGGCCCTATTTTGGCTACTGCGCAACTAAAAAAATTCAGGGAGTTGTGTGGCGCCAGTTGGTTGAGACAACCCAGGCCCTGGGCCGCCTGTGTGAATGTATGGAAAGCAGGCCCTGGGCTGGATACGGGTACTGGGCCAAACACAGGCCAAAGGCAGTTGGGTGCATGCAACCACCTCTGGCCCAAGGCCTGTTCTCGTTTGTGTTGGGCCTCAGGCTACAGGGGCCTACTAGAAGCTTCTTGGAACAGAACGCAGGCAGGCCACTTTGATATAGCAAAGGGTCTGCCTCCATATTGGGCATTCGGGTGCTGGCTGCATGCTGCGCTGAAGCCCGTTGGCACTCACGTGCTTACGGGCGAGCAGGAAGAAGCAGGCAGCCATAGCCGAGCTACGCTGCTGTAAGCTGGGTGTGGTGCAGGGTGGTCCTTGGGTGCAAGTGGCATCTGTGTGTTGAGGAACGAGGTTGTAAGTGAGGCAAGAGACATACCTGGTGCTGGAAGCGTGCGACATTGGTCGTTGTATGCTTGGACTTCGGAAAAGTTGTTGACGTCATTTTCGACATTGTAGTCTAGGCTAGATAGGATCTGCCATCTGTAGTCAAGACGCCGCGCGCCGTATAGGATATCAACATTGGTTCTTCATTGATGATGATAATGAGACTTTACCAACATTGTCAATTATGAGCTCTTGGTGTTTTCTTATTTGGTGAAACTCGTGATGCAATTCTGCTGTTGGTTCGAGGTCACGACTATCTGGTCTTGTGAATATGGTGTTGTTTGATTGCTGAAGTTCGCTATTGTTCATCTTCCTTCCAAAATTTAAATAATTCACAAAAATTTCAGCACCAATTTCCCTCCTCCCGTTGGGAAGGGGTTCAGGAAATTTTCGCTTGATTAAGAAAGAGAAAGGTCCTTGACTCCTTGTATACTTATTATTTATTTATTTGTTTATTTGATTTTTCATTATTTTTCATAATAAAATTTCTCCAATTTTAATTTAAAAAAAATCAATTATACAAAATGTATTTACACAAAATTTTCCACAACAATACGGAAAGTAAAAGTTGTAGCTTCACTCTTTTTACCCGACCTTTTTTAAACTGGTATTAGGGTTTTACCCTAATTAGGGTTTTCACTAATTAGGGTTTTGGGTTTTGCGCGCAACCGTACGCGCATAGAAACACCCCGGATTACCGCAAAAGTGTTTCGTGAGATTTCTTTAGGTTTAAGGTAAGGAGTTATCGGATTACTTTCTTTTATTTTCTACCCATTTTATAATCACAAAATTATAAAAAAATACAATTTTTTAATTTTTATTTTCCTTTTTTTTTGTACCTGTTGGACCCCTCCGTTCACTCAAGCGAAGTCTGTTTTTCCCGATCAAGGTTTCAAAATGTCGAAAAAAATAAATCGGACAACTTTGCCCTGGGCGACATTCCCCAGATTCCGCTTCTTTTCTTCGTAATTAAAATGAAAAGAATTTCATGATTTCAAAATTTTAATTAGAAAAATACAAAAAAAATTCATATCTCTTTTTCTAGCCGTTAGATTTTCCCAACGTCTCAAAACGTTCGCCTCGACGACAGGACAAACTTTGATCATGGCGTACTTTGCGAGAAAACGTGCTGATCAGGAGTTATCGAAGAAAAACGAATTTCAAAATTAAAAAAAAAAAAAAAAAAAAAAAAAAAAAAAAAAAAAAAAAAAAAAAAAAATTTTTAAAAAAAAAAAAAATTTAAAAAAAAAAAAAAAAAAAAAAAAAAAAAAATCAACTAATAAACTTATTCTAAGCAAATTAGTCTTTGGCTAAATAGCCAACGCACCCCGGTTGATTGGGGAAGGCCGAGGCCGTGGGGGTGCAGTCCCCTCCCCGGCAACGACGCTAAGGTTGTGAGGAAAACCGGGGAGGGGTCACCTGTTGTTCGTTGAAGCCAAGGGCAACGACGCCTGTCACTCGCCCCGCCCGCTTCCGAGATCCTCAGCGATCAGCAGGGTACCTTTTGAGAACCACCTGTTACACCCCATCTCATGAGAGAACTTCATGCCATCGTCAGAGCACAAAAACGCAACAAAATATTTTGCTCAATTTAAAATGTTCTCTTTCCTCAGGTAGGTTTGGATTCTGGTCTAGTCTGATCAGGAGCGTTTTGCCGTTTTGCTTCAAAACAGTTTCTGATTAAACTTTTCCTGTCTCTCTCTCTCTCTCTCTCCCCTTACGAGCAAGTGTGAATTCCAAGGCCCGTAGATAAAGCAGAGAGCACTCAATCAGTTACGAAATGAGAATTCAAGAAAGCATCCTAGGTGAGCACATCATTACGTCTCATAATTACTCTACCAGAGTCTCAGTCTCCTGCGCTCTGTAGGCCTTTATAGGTACAAACGAACACGATAATCTGCCTTGTCCGAACATTTTGAAGGTATCATCAAGAGATGCTTGTACATGCTGCTAATAGTTTATATACATTTTTCTACATCTTGACGGAGCACAGCGACGACGAACCTTGTTCACTCCTTCGAAAATGATGCTGACAGTGTCCGCTGGCTCGAGCAAAATCAATGTCGTTTGAAACGAAGTGAGCTTAGAGCTCGATTGAAGGGAGAAAGTCAATGCATCTTCCTTAAGTTCATAAAAATGTAAGTTGTCGTGAAAGCACACGTTTGACAAAACTTAGAAGGATGCTTCTGATGGGAGCTGCAAATCTGAGCAATCATTCGCCTGACTGAAGGAGTCGGAGTGACGCTTGAACTTGGGCTCATTGGGCCTTAATCCAGGTCGATTATACGCTGCACCCACCCCCATTTAGTCCCAAATGAATCCATC